CCCCCGGGCCCCTGGGTGCGCGGTCTGCTGCTGCAGGTGCTGCTGCTGCAGGTGCTCCGGCTGAGTCCCGGTGTGAATCAGGTGGCAGGGAGTGATGCTCCTCAAACCAAATGTTTGATGCTTTGGCTTCAGGCTTCAGTCTCTCTCTCTCCTCCTCCTCAGCAGTGACAGCAGTAGATCTACAGTAGATGCTGCTGCTGCTGTTACTGCTGCTGCTACTGCTGTTGCTGCTGCTGCTGTTGCTGCTGCTGCTATTGCTGCTGCTGTTACTACTGCTGCTGTTACTGCTGTTACTATTGCTGCTGCTTCTACTGCTGCTGATGCTCTTCGTCCGAGTCTGTGCCTGTCAGTGTCTGTTCCTGCTGCTGCTGCCTCTACTGCTGCTGCTGCTACTGCTACTGCTGTTACTGCTGCTGCTGCTGCTGCTTCTACTGCTGCTGATGCTCTTCGTTCGAGTCTGTGCCTGTCAGTGTCTGTTCTGCGCATCTCGGTCATTCTGCCTCCCCTCTGTCTCCCCCTTTTCTCCTCCTCCTCTGACACTTCTTTTTCCTCCTCGCTGGACGACACCTACAGCGACTGATCTACTATGATATCAAACGACATCTATTCACCTCTCATCGATAATCATTAAAATAATTACATTAACAAGGCAGGAAATCTTCTATATCTAATGGTGAACATTCAGAGTAAAGCTGATGAATCATGAAGCACCTTTGAAGAATTCCTTCCATGTCTCCCTTCATCGACATCAAAGATATTGAAATATTTAAAAATACTTCAAAGAGGAAACTAAAACTACATTAGAGCCAAACAGAAGCGTTAAAATAAGAACTCGTCTGAACGAATGAGATGGTTTAAAATTCTACTGTTCTATTTTTAGAATCTCTTCTTCTTCTTCTTCTTCTTCCTTTGAGCCACAGGGGAAACAGATTTGAGGCTGAAACTGCTCTCATTTCTCGCCTGTCAGAACTGTGGTAATTTATTATACGTGTGGGGAGAATCAAAGAGCAACACATGACAAATTAGAACAATTGGAATGTTAAATGTTATTATCTTTGGAAAGGGTCAGAAAAAAATCTATGAATCTCCACTGGCCCATCATGCCCCTGTGTCTGACCCTTCATGAGGTCAAACAAGGTCAACAAGGTCGAGGGGTGGATGAAGGAAGAGGCGTCGCTCCCCGGGGAACAGTAACTGTAGATTAAAGGGTGACGTGCACATTTTTTTAGCTTCAAACGGACACAAATCCAACATGGAAGGTGACATTTGACTGAAGTAAGGTTTATATACATATATAAATGTTTCTTGTGGTAATAGTGAGCGGGTCACAGATGGTCACGAGCTGAGCTGCTCTCAGGGCTGGACAGTCCAGCTCTCAGGGCTCAGGACACAGACGCTTCAGTCATGGACCTGTGGAGCCGTGAGGGAGAAACACTGACAAAAACACAGCGTGACAGGAAGTGCCTTCAGGTGCAGTAACACCATCGACCACCGGAGCCGCTGCCACCCGTCAGTGACATCACTATTTCACTCGTACAACAAACACACGACGTGTAATAAATAGAACTCCCCACCGCGTCAATCACCGAGGGTCCAGCAGAAGAACAAAGCTTCATCGATATGAAATTATACGTCCAAACAACAACAACAACAACAACAACAACATGTGATTGTGACAATTCCCAAAGTGCAACAGGACGCTGTGAGACAAACGGTTTCTTTCGAGAAATCGCTCCACAAACGTGTTTACAGAATACTGCAAGAATTAAAAAAAAAAAGATACAAAAAAAAAACAGCCCACATCCACATGGACGTCATCACTATGGAAGCGCACGGCGCCAATTTGCACGAGAACACTTCTGTTCTGCATCACAACCGACCAATGAAGACGCAGCTCGTGCCAATGTTCGTGTTCAGCGCCGGCTGATGAAGCGTGGCTGACAATGGGCCGAGTGAGGGAACCAGCAGCTTCAAGCTCGGCGTGCCCGAGGCCCCCTTGGCCTGGCCCAAAGCCCCCCCCCCCCCCCGGCCCCCCCCCCCAGCCATCTGTCCATCACTGCCACTTCACTCAGTGCAACAAACAGTCAATTAAATCAAACCTTCGTCAAACAGAGACAATGAGAGACAACGGTCAGAGATGTGTGACTGTAATGAGGCTCGATTTACAAACGACGGAGCGGAGTGTGTGTGTGTGTGTGTGTGTTAACACCTGGGGAAAAGAGAGAGAGAGAGAGAGAGAGACATTTTAAAGAATGAGGGTGGAATAATTACAGCAAAGACAGATTGGCCACAGCCGTGACAAGGTGACACTGACGGACCAGTGAAAAACTGTTTACCCAGGATTCCATGTGCCTGTGCGTTAGATTAGTGCATCGTGTGTGTACTTCATCCGACTGAAGCTCAGAGGCTCAGTGACCGTCAGTCGGACGAGCTCACAGAAACACAGGTGAGGTTTATTTAAACAAACCTTTAACCACTTTAATATATAT